AGCATACACATCATACTCTCAACAAACACCCCATTTCTTCTGGTTCTCACACATGATGTCTGCGTGTGGGAAATTTTAAAAAGTGAGGTCTCACTTTTGAATGTTAAATGTTAAGTGTAGGGTCAACCAGATCATATTGTGCTGTTAGAACATAACACTTTAAAAGGAAAATTGCACCTCGGGTACACATTTCACACTGTAATGGTCTAATGATTTCCAGGAGATGTTCTACAGTGCTATAATTTACTATTTTTGTGTACCCACTTTCCCCAAATTTGCCTTTTCAATTGATTTTCCACATTTCACAGAGTGCCTTCTGACAAGACTCAGAGATGACTGTCTGTTAGCAATAGTCATAGTGAAGAATGCTTTCTAGGCAAGAAACAGTAAGAGTGAAGACAGAACAATGCCACAGAGCAGCATGCCCGGTTGTTCAAATTACCTCAAATTACCCCTCAACAGGGTTTATATTACATATGCAACTGACAACAGCTCCAAGTTGTGGCTGCATTGAATTTCTACTGAGGCTGCCATTGGTAGAGAAGTATCTTTGACTGCCCTACAATGATTGTTCGATGTCACTGCAAAAATAATAAGCGAGAGTGAACCAAAACAGTAAATTTTGTGGGTCAGAAAACCAAAACAATGAGCTATAATGTTTAAATGCTCCATAAAGCTGAGGGGGAACTGCAAAGTCGGATGATAATCCTCTGTGGGTTGGTCACTATGAGGGAACCCCCTTTCACTTCACAGATTCCTCAATATAAATATAGCAGCATTAAATATGTCATATTTACCCACCAGTTTAAGGTTACCTAGCAGAGGGTTCCTGAAATGGTCCACTTGGTACATAAAAAAAGTATACTCTTAATGATTTAGTTTGCTAAAAAAAATCCTGTCAACTGTAGCTGCACTGGAAAGTATTTCAACATCACGTTGTGCGTGTTTGGCCACCTGTCTATGTGAATAAAAAAAGCGCCACCATAAAACAAAATGGGCCATGAATTGCAAGGTAAATTACCTACACTTGTTTTAGATGACTTTAGGGTAAAAATTTCCTTAAAATCTTTCAACCAAACCAGCTCTGCCCAGACTTGAAAGTCATCTCAAACCTAGAGTGTGATTAGAAACTCGTCCTCAGGGTGGTACATATCCCTGAGCGATGGATATCATGTTCCACTAGACATTTTCTGTGACATGAACACATCGTTAAGGAAATCAAAGAATCACTGTGTTCCTGGGTCTAGTGGGAGCCATAAGAAATATCCCACCATATAGAGTAGTTTCCTGTTCAGACAGGATACCACAGCCGGAGAAGGGAAATCCAACACCCACCTGCAAATAACACTGAGTCAGACATGGTGAGAGGAGCCCCTGACATCTTGATGTATGTGTATGTGTGTGAGAGTGTGTGTTTTGGGCTAGTGTGTGGGAGGCATGCCATATGCTAGATGTGCCAGTGCAGAACTGTAAGGTGAGGTAGGTGAGAACAGACATTATAACATAGGGTAATTATGGATCTTGTGTTGAGGCCTGACATATCAATTAATGACTGATGAGCTTCAAAGACCTATGTAAATCCATGCACACCAATATATAAGATACAGTATATAGTCTACGGTATAACTACAGAGCCTCTTACACTTGTTTTTCTATTATCGATCACTCCTGGGGTTTTAAAGAAATAGTTCAACATTTTGGGGAAATACAGGTATTCGCATTCTTATCAAGAGTTATATGAGAAGACTGATACCACTCGCATATCTCACATCATAGTACACTAATGGCTACAGCCAGCAGCCTGTTAGCTTAGCTCAGACTTAGAACATGTCTTGCACAAGCCTCATCATCACCATGCGGTTACCAGGCAACCAGTGTTGAAACATGAGGACGTTAGTTCTTCTGGCCAAGAAATGATCTGCCACATAGCCACATAACACCACAAAGTATTGTTTTTATACTCCGGTTTTTAAAAAATCACTTTAGATAATGTGCTTTCAGACTTTATGCTAAGCTAAGCTACCTGCCTGCTGGCGGTACCTTTGTAATTACTATACAGAAATGAATCTTCTCATCTAACTTGTGGCAGGAAAGCCTTTTCCAAAATGCCAAACTATTGCTTTATGAGTACAAGCTCCCAAATTTGTATAGCTCATTACTAACGTACCTGGTAGAGGCAAAAAAGTTCAAAAAGGAAAACACCCAACAAAGTCAATACCTTATTTAATTGAATTTGTGACAGCACAAAAAAAGGAAATTATCTTTGGTGGAAGAGATGCAATAAAGATATTCATAAAGGCCTCCTGACAAAGCTGGGTTACTAGCGTTAGCTTAATGTGGAAAAATCACCTCAATTACTCCTACTTGGCACAGAGAGACGGAGAGAATGGATGGAGCGATACAGAGGTTCAATTTGGCAGGCAGTGGCTCGGTTAAGGTCAACCCACCCTCGGATTGACTGGCTGTTTGATTTTACTGCGAAGACAACAAATGATGTGGCTGTGTCTCGGCCTTATCTGTCACTGCAGATAGAGGATATCTTGAGGTTTAGAGGTCCTGCAGTGTCACAGTAAGAAATGTGGTGGAGGACAAAATCTTCCACAATACTGGAATTTCCTATATTAACCAGTCATCCTCTGATGTCTTAAAGCTGCAATGACTGACATTTTAGCCCCTTGGGGGCAGCAGGGTCAAGCTGTGAACACACTGACATATTATCACTTTAAGTTTCATTTGGATGGCAAACTCAGGTGGTGGCTGTGTTAATTACGAAAAACAGCACAAAAAGGCAAATACATGGATTTATAACTGTGCTTATTTAGCATGCATCTTAAAATCTGCCAAAATCTGCTAAATGTCTTGAGACTAAAAGCTACACTGGGGACAGAAAAAAAACAAGCTGTGAACACAACAGCTAAATAAAGCTTTACTTACTTACTTACAACACTTTCATATTATTACCCTTTACATTGATGTGGCTAATGTGCTAGCACTAAGTTGCCTATTAACACGTCCAGCAGTATTAATTTGTGTTTCTGGTAAATGTAAGTACAATATTCACCCCCGCATTTTAGCTCTGTTTTGGTTTCCATCAGCAGCTTAAGGTCTCTTTAGGTGCTAAATGCTCTGGTATGTTCACCAGCTAGTCACTAAGGAGCAGGTGAATACAGCCTTGAACTGTTTCGTACTATACAGTCAGAGAGCGGTGAGCATGAACCAAAGCAATAACGCGTGCTGGAAAAACCAAACTGATAAAAATGACATCCTAAAGCTCTCTCCACATTACACATGATCATCTGATGCATTGTTATTATAAAAATGACATCCTAAAGCTCTCTCCACATTACACATGATCATCTGATGCATTGTTATTATAAAATTGTAGATTTTAGCAGCTTTCCGAGACATTTTTATTCAATTAGTGAACTACACACACCATGGACTTCATGCACAATGCCACTTTTATAGCCTTGGTCATTAATCTAGCCTTGATGTTTTTTGTTTTTTTTTTGCATCTCATCGTATTCACTGGTCCAATGCACCACTGAACACTCACCACACCTCTTCTACAGCTGTAGCCTCACTGCATGCCAAGTGGCCTGAGAGTGCTGAGTGACTGAATATTGACATTTAATACTGTATGTGCTGCTCATACTGTAAACTCTGATGGCATATTGCAGTTTCTGTGGACTGTCTTGGCATTTTTGCACAATGTGTCAAGATACACAGTGAGTAAATGCACATTTATGTGAATTTAATTCTGACTGTGCAGCTGAAGCCTTACAGTTATGTACTAATGTAAGCAACCAGACATGAAAAGGGTAAACAAACTGACAAAACTGTTTCACTGTAAGAGGTACAGTAAAATAAAGTGCTCTTCTCGTGATGCCAGGCTTCTGTTGGTGATTCATCAATACGGTCACAGAGTCTCTCTTAAGTTTCTCTCTCTGTGTGCCTGTCTGTCTCTCTTTCTCTCCCTCACTCTATAACTCAGTTTTATTCACATCACTCTGCATAATGCATGATAGCACATAGGTCCCCCAAGGCCTTTTATTACGTAAACCTGTTGCAAGAGGAGCCACAGCAGCACTTTTACAACATCCATCAAAACAGGGGCAAGCATGTGTTGGAGTGGTTTGTGATGTATTGCTGGTTAATCGGCAGTGAGGTTTGAATACAATTACCTTCAAAGCACACACCAAAAGGTATTTCTTAGCACTTGGGAGGTTGATGTGAAAACTACTGGGGAAGGTATTGTGTACACCAGAGTCAGCAAATGTACACAGGGATGAAAGACTGCCTTCCTCTTTGGATGAAAAGAATGAAACTCATCTCTGCAGGGCATCATTGTAGGAAACCAACAGGGAGAGCCCCTTTCACTGAAAGCTCTCAAAGTGAGGCATTAAGCCCAGGGATATCAGGCCCTGCTTCATAAATTTTGTGCATCAGCACAACAGCCACAAATAGTATAAGAAGGGTATCAGAGAATAACATCTGCAATGTAACACTGCACAGGCGACAGAAGAGGAAAGCTGGCCTTAAGAAGACTGCTCTCTCCTATCCTGATCTCAGCCGTCACCTACCTGCAGCTTCTGCAGCTCCCTTGCACTATTTCAGCTGCAAAAACGCTCTTACACTGATGTATCTGACTTAAAGTTCACAATTCCTCAGCAAGAGAGAGATTGAGAGATTTAACTGTTCTATATCAGAGATCTGGTAGGAAGTGAATCTACGGGACCTCTTTGTATAAATCCTCATAGTGCTCATAATTGTGTCATTTATGGTGCAGACTTGTTTGGATGACCTACCTTGTTACATTAATATATGACTGTTTGGAGTATATCCATCATTACCCTGTTAATGATGTAAAAATCTATTGTGAGATGAGAGGGGGACTCATACAGGTGACACATTACGCATAGGGATTTAAAATCTGTGGCTGTAAGGATATGGAGTGGAGAAGGACCCTGTTGCATGGACACACAGTATTCGTAACTCACCGCTTGCATTCTTCCCACAGATCAGGTGTTGCCAGGACAGCAGAGACCCCCATATCTCTGCATCACTGTTGACGGCCTGCTCCAGGATCTCCACAGTGAACTTGGGGATCCCGTTATCCCGCTCCAGCAGCGCACTGCGCAGCACCCGCGCGTACACCTCGCGGAAGAGGCTCTCCATGCACGCAGCCAGGTAGATCGCGGCGTGCTCGTGGATCCTGACCGCAACCCTGCTGTCGACCATCCACCTGAAGAACTTCCCCACGTTGAAGATGAGTCCGCAGCGCAGCGACTTACCGCGGCTGAACTTGTCTTCCTCCGTGCTCATGTTGTACAGGGACAAGGCACTGAGGGCCGCGCTGATGCAGTTCATGGACACGGTCCACGACAGGACGATCTTTATGGCACTTTGTATCTCATATTTGGTGCATTTGGCGTAGCGCAGGCTCAGGCGCTGCGCCTCCTTGGCGACCCTGACCAGGGCCCGGCTGACCAGCACCGAGAGCCTGAGCAGGACGTCCTGCGGGGGGGTCGGCAGGCTCATCTCCTCGTCCCTGCTCAGTGCGCTCGCCACTTCCCCGAGGCTCCACGGCACATCCTCAAGCTCGGGTAGTTTAGCGCACTGCCCGGTGCTCTCCAGGATCTCGGCGTCTTCGACCAGGACCGTGTTAACAGTGTCCAGACTGTTGTGTCGACTGTGCATCGAGTCGGTTAAATGCCAGTGATTCCCCCCATGTGCCTCTGAGCAGCACAACGACGCACTGGAAGATCTGAAGGAGTCGGCGGCTCCACCATAACCCGAGTCTAGCGTCAAATCCTCCAGGGTCCTCGCTACTGTCTTGCTACTCCTTGCCATAACTGCACTTCATACTGTAAAGGAGGGCTTGGGAAAGTGGAGGAAAATATTCAAGACGGTGGAGTTTGAATACGCACGCGCCTTGCGCGAGCTCTGCTGACGGATATTATTCAGTTTTTTTAGGAAAAGTCCACCCAGGGCTGTCGCGTAAAGTTAAAGAGTAGTATCTCACTACAGTGCATCAACAGTCACACAGTGCTGTACCAGCGCAGTGCCTGACATCTGGGGGCGGGGCCGTGGAGAACCGAGAACAGCTGTCAGCCAATGGACTCTCGGGATGAAGCAGCAAAGAGTTTTAATTGGATCGCTTTAGAGGATCAATAAAAAGTCATTGATCCATCCAGCCCATGATTAGGCTTATTAATAAAACGGCGATGTAAACAGTGATCACAGTGCTTGTTTTATTGTCTACAATATTAATTAATTAAATGTGGGGAAACTTCATGTATCCAAACTTTGGAAGAGCTTTAATGCATAAATGCTGTCAAATGTTACATGTCAACGACATGAGTTGTGGTGAATAATAAATCACTTAGTGTAGAAGGAGGTACTTTTCTATAATCATGTTTAGAGGACAAGTCCACCAGAGGATCAGGCTTTTCAGATATTTTCTGAGGGCTCATGTCTGATCGTAACATGACTCAAGACCATTAATAATAGATTGCATGCATAATGTATTCTTCTCTGTTCCTCTGGCGGGGAACTCATTGAAAAGATCTGAATTACTTTCAAGGTCATTTAGCTGGGATCACTCACAGGGTCTAACCTAACCATTTAGTTTTTTTTTCTCCTAAACCCACAGGCTCAGTGTAATCTCCATGAACCCTACTCCACCTTAAAGGAAATCTAAGATAGATACATGTACAAGTACAGTTTAAGATATTGCAGAGATATTCTTTATTCTCTAACAACAACAGTGAGGTATTTGGTTTAAGTTAATGTACTGAAAATAACTGCAGTATTGACAAAACCAGTTCAGTGCCAATAACTGTAAATTGTCGGGGTCTACTGCAAATATTGGGTGGAAAAAAATCTAATGTGTTGGTTAAAAAAAACATACTCCATGAACTGGAGAGTGCTCACAGATATGTGAGACTGTGGCTGCTTTACATCTAAGATGCAGCAAGGCTGTAGCTTCTGCATCTGACAGCAGGTTGGATGTCTCTGGAGCAACAGTGAACCCTGGTGTTCTGCAGTCAAACTTCAGTTTATTTGTCAGGGCACGAGGCTGAAATGGCTTTGTGACACAGAATTTCAATGAATAACAAAATATGAATTCTTTTTGTTCAGGGAACATTTCTAACAACTAAAATCGTTTATTCTCCACTGCGGAGAGATCTTTTTATACATGAGATAATTTGCCATCTTACAGGTCTTCAATCTAAAACTGCATCAGTTCAGCGCACAGTAAGATACAGAGCAATGCCAGAATGTAATTCACTACCAAAACATATTACATAACATCATATATGGTTTTTAAAGAGAAGCAAAACGTTAGTAATTAAGTAAAGTAATATTCGGTGTATCAGGTTTCCATGGTTGATCTGTGTGAAATCATATTTAATGTTAAATCATGATATATTCAGTCGGAGCTGGTCTAAATGTTGTTGTTGTTTGATTTATTTATTTTGTGTATGTTTGTCTTATCTAAATTGTGTCAATTGTTATGTTTCATTTACAGTAGACATATATTACAATGTGTTGTGTTAGTGTGTTGTGATGAGCAATGTGAATGTGTATATTTGTATTGTATTGTCACCATATAAACTGTGTGGGCCCCAGGAAGAATAGCTGCTGTTAGGCATAAGCTAATAGGGATCTTAATGAGTAAACAAACAAATAAACAAAATCATTGTTGGCTGAATTCAATTTGGCTGCATGGTGCTTCATGGTGTTGTTCATGCTGGCTCTCTGCCACACTATGATGGCTTACTGGAAATAGAACAGAGTCACAGTCAGTGTTTTTAGTTACACCTGCCCTTATCCTACGGCATGTCAACATGTCTGCGGTGAAAAGGCCTGTCCGTATCTACATTACAGGCATGTGAATACTGTAGATATCCATTACATATAAAGGACACACTAATGTTCAGGCTGTCAAGGTCATACAAGGACAGTGCTGGATGTGTGACAGAACAAACATGTATCTCCAAATCGAACTCATATTGATATTAAATGTTTTAGGAGGTTCTCTCTCTGCTCTGAATGTGAGCGGTGTAAATGATTATCCCATACATTACTGCAAGGTCCACAGGAAGGTCTCCACAGCACCGAAGGATGCAGTAGGATGAGAAAGGTCAGAGACACATCGGACAGCAGAGGTGAAAGGGGACTCAGATATTTAAGTAGGATGTCGAGTTTTCATGAGAAATCTTGGATGATTAGTTACAAGTAAGCATGTCCTCATCCCCTGGTATTGTCACAAAATTTGGGACATTGTCACACACATTACTGTTATTGAATCAGGTATTATCCTTTAATTTAAAAGGAAAAAAACAGAAAAATTGAGACAGCTCTGTCTTCATAACAGTAATGCCCTCTTTCTACAGGTTCAGACAGAGAGATTGATTTTAATCATGTTAATTTATCTCAGTAACCTCACTGAATCCTCTATAACACCTTGATCCTTTGAGGATAAAAAAGCTACAATGTTAGGCACCAAATAATATTGGAGAATCAATTCTTGTCAAAATTAAAGCAGCTAAATTGGGTTATAAAACTCACCCTGAAGGTCATTTATAGTCCTGGAGGATAATTTAATATAACCGTTTCATGTCTATGTTGGGGCGCAAATTAGCCTTTCTAGCCAAGGGAGTGCTTTAATCAAACTTAATTTAGAAGGAGCAGCATGTCAGAGGCAGCACAACTCAGAATGAGGTAATTAAAAAAGGTGATTTTGTGGCAAAAGCCTTTTTCTAGTTAAAACTCATCAGAAGCATAAGGACAAACCAAGTGACCTGTTTTTAAGCCCCACTATCAGCATGGCTCTCTAAGGATGGCAATGTTGGACTGATGGTCTGTTGGTTTGTCCACCACACTGGTCCAGACTTAAATATCTTAACAACTATTGGATGAATTTCCATGGAATTTGGTACAGATATTAATGGTGCCCAGTGGAGGTATCTGATGGATCCTTAGGTGGACTTTTCCTGGATTGACTGGCACTTTTGTACAGTCATTTATGGCTCCCAGACAATGTATGTCACCATCAGGTTTACATTACATTTGTGAGTGAAATGTCTTAACAACTATTGAATGGATTGCCATAAAATTTGGTTGGCTACATATGTCCCCTTAGGATGGACTGTAATAACTCCAATCATCAGACCAAATTTTTGTGCAATATTTTGTTGACTTGACTATAACGGAAGACAAGAACGGCTGTTCTTAGAATTATTTTTAAATATCGTTATCTCCCGAGATAACAAGATAATCATTTCCTATTGCTTATAATATTTATCACAGAGCCAGCATGCAAGGCTCATTATAGATATAGCATTGGTTCAAAATAATGGACAATGCATGGAAGAATGCATTAAAATAAATTAACTCTTTTATTTTTGTTTATCAGTTATGAATCTACCCCAGGATAGTCATGACAGTTATCTTGAAGGCTGAAATCAGGTGTGATCAAATCAGAATCAGAATCAGGTTTATTGCCAAGAAGGGTTTCAAATATGTGGTGCATAACAACAAACATAGAACAAGAAAATTATAAATAAAGAAGAAAAAACGTACTGTAGGTCAAGAAGCATAAATAGAAAATTCACAATAACATACGAAAAGTATTATAAAGACAATAAGAAACAATATGTGCAATATGATTGTTATTTTTATATTGTTATTTGAAATGAAAGCTGAATATAGTATGTGCAAAAGATCACAGTATTAGGTACAGAGAATAAATGCAATGCAAATCATGAACTAGACGCTTATTTTTCGAGTTCTTCATAGTTACCCCATGATTTCGAGAATACAAAAGTCAGTATCTCCTGATAAATTATCTAATTTAACTACGGAATCTGTCTTTTGTTATCTCAAGATAACGGCATTAGAAAATAGTTGCAAGCACAGCCGTTCTAGGCTTCCACAAGCCTCAGCTGTACTTTGTGTTTAGAGCTAATTATGTTAGCATGCTATAATACTTAACTAAGTTGGTGAACATTGTAGACATTATAGGCAATCCACTAAACATCAGCGCTTTGTCAATGTGAGCATGAGCATGCTGATATTAACATTTTTACACTCTTTTACACAGCACTGTGCTAATTGTATTGACAATTAACTTGGGACAATAACTGAACACATGCTGGGCAGTATAACTGCAAACTACTCTTTGTGTCAAACATTGGCCTGAGCTGTGACTGCTGAATCCAAAGCAAATAAAAACCTGAAGGCCTTTCCAAAAACAATTCCTGGTTAATACTGCCATCTAGTGTCCACTTACATAGCTACATGTAATTATTGCATGTTTTTTCTACTGTATTTTACAGTAAAGCTGATTTTATTTTATTAGAGCAGCTATTAGCTTTGATCACAAGCACCTAAAAGAATAATGCAGCTCACTTACTCAGCACAAACTATTTCAAAAAGTTGTTTACAGTGCAACTAGGTGTAACCAAGTCATTGACAGGAGCAATCAGAGAAATCACCACAGTTCAACTATTAGGAGGAATTTACTCTGGAAGTGAGGGATTTGTGGCCCAGGAACTAGGTCACTAATGCAGTTTGTGGAGCAGCTGAAGAAACTCATCTCGTGACAGTGCAGACTTTACAGTTTACTGTTAGACCTCAGTTACTGCTCAGACCTCTGTTTCTGAATCACTGAGCAGGGTGTTAAAAGCAAAGCTGTTTTCCTCGTAGTCTAATCTGGATGACTACAACAGAAATAGAAATTGTCAGCTGTAATGTTCTGAACAAGTTAAAAGCCTGTAAAGACAGATACTTACTATAGCCTAATAGTAGATATACTGTACAGCTCCACAGGCCTGAGTCTGTAGCAATAATATTTTGTGACACCCTGCTCCAGGGTGATAAAATAGCCCTACTTCCCTCTTACTTCAGTACAGTACATTGTCTTTCCTCTTTCAGTGGCATTTCTTTGTGATATTAAGCAGCAGAAACAGATTAGATAATTCTGCAAAAGTATTAGCATTACCCCTTTTAAATAACAATGGTATTTTGATTAATAGTGTAATTAAAATCAACATTTATTGTGGAGTAGAGAGACGTGTGGGTTAAAAATGCAATAACCTATTCAACAACACACAAAACAAAAAAAATTTTAATTTTGTAAATTAAATATTGCCTGATTTGCCATGCATGCTTACAATGTTATATAAATGGAAAATCCAACCTACATTAGACATATAGTCTACTCTCCAGCTTAGCTTTAATTTTTTTAATGTTTACATAATCACACAAATCTCTCATTATAAAATATTGATATTTTAACTCAAAAAATTACATTATTGTGGCACATTAGTGAAACATTGACCAGAATACATGTCTTTTTTCATTGAATTTAAGTCTACCATGTACAAATTTGGCCATAACAGATCATTAAATTGGGATATAGCCTGTTTTTAACATGTTATTTTGTAATATAAATGCATCTAAACTAATGTGACAGCATTTGACATTAAAACCGCTGTGGTGTCCAGGCATTATAGGGGTGCCACCCCATGCCACCCATTTAGATCTGCCCCTGTAGCAGAGGCATGTTTTTATAAAACAGCAACCTCTGGAAACACAATGGGAGCTCCTTTACTGGTTTCAGTGCTCTCTGCAAGCTGACTTCAATTAAAACTCCTTTAAATCATCTCTAACAATACGATGAAATTGTGCTTAAAATATACAATCACACAAAAATATACAAATCACACAAAAATCACACGAGAATAAAGTACTTTTTTAAACATATAAATAAATAAAGATAAGAAAGATAAGAAAGATAAGACGACTGTACAGAAGACCAGAGTGCATTAATGTAATGCATA